TCATACTGCTTTAAGCCAAACAATATCTCTTTTCTTATTTTTTGAGGCTTGTTATCACTTGGAGAAACGCCCACTGAGTTTTTTTGTTTTCCTTAAAGTGCATTTTGTGCCCTCAGTCAGAGATATAAAAATGTTCACACTGATGCCTCGGTGGCCGATCCGCTGACATTTCAAATGTTATTATTTGACATTCTCAGCCTCTTTTTGCCCCCAACCCGGCAGAAAGAAACAAAACCAATGTTTAGAGGTAGAGATGTAACCTTTTCGTAACAGGTCTACTCACAAAACAGACAAGTTTCTCTTTTCAGGAATCAACAGAGTTTAAAACACAGTTTAAGTTTAGTTTGAGTTCTGTTGTGTTTATCTTTCGGGCGGATTCTACAGATTAGTATAGGTATTAAAAGGAGGGTCATGGAGAATATCAAATCAATTTCACTTCCAAATAGACTGAGTAAGAAAAAAAACAGTCAAGCCTCTGAGCATTTTTTTTTTACAACACTACAAGTCAGACACTATTATAATATAAATCAGTCCACTATAGGAGTTTTTGCTTCTTTCCTTGTTGTGTCTGAGAGACAAATAACAACACAAGCCGTACAGACAATGTGGGCAGTGATTACGCTTGTGTTTACAAGTTAGCATTAGCATAATCACAAAATAACCTTTCATCATCTGGCACTGCTTCCTTTCAGCACTCCAATTAGTAACCTATAACTGCCATTTAAAAAGCTTTGCAGAGTGGAGTTGATTTTCCTATAGTTATCCAAAGTCTCAGCAGGCTCAGCAGCTGAACAAATGTTTTTTATTTCAGTCCACTGTGCTGCTCTAGACATAAACAAGGCTTATTACCTCGGCATGTCCCAGACAGTTTACTGACATTATGTGTACTGTTGTCTTGGAGACAGTTCCGGTCTGGATTATTGTCCCCTTCTGTCAGGAGAATTGGTTATGGGAATAAACTTTCTAAGGGCAACTGTTCGCAAGGTGGCCCTTTTCCTCTGTGGGGATTTAGTGCTGTGATAATGTTGTACTGCTGTGTTCCAGGTCGTAAGTCATAATTATTTTGTTTCTCCAACAAATGTTACCACTGCACCACGTCTAGGAACAACTAAAAAAACAATGGCTATTGAAATATCTGTGGGGCATGGGGCTATATTTCACAGTTAACCAACGTTTTATTTAGCCATTAGCTTCTGTTTGACAACTGTTAATGGTAGCACTCAAGTGCTTCCAAGTTAACACCACTATTTGATAACGTCACAAGATTAGACAGGGAGGTGTATAGCCAATGTTGTCATCTAATAAAAGGTAATATCTGAATATTTCAAGGTTAAACAAACTCTTGTCTTCCCATTAGCTTAACCACATAGGAATGTTATTTAATTGTCATCACCATTTGATTGAGTTACAGGATTGGTTGGGAACAGTGTAAATACCTAATGATGTTAACTAGCCAAAGGTTAACAAGCGGAAAACTGGTTGTATGTCACATTGGAAGCATGGACATCTTTTCGTACATACTCTTAACGCCATGGCACACTAAGCCTCTAGCTTATGGTGATATCCGAGGGGCAGACGACAACGCGACTTCTGCTACGCATTCATGCTTTTCAACTTCCAGGTCAAAACAGAAACTATATGAAACATGCACAGAACGCCTGCTCCAGTTTGGATCCATACTGAGGCGAGTAAATCGAACCTCATTCCCATTATCTAGGTGTGTTTGTCCGTCTCCCGGAAATTCGACTTAGTGTGATTTCTGTCGGACTACCAGTTCTTCATAAATCTCAAAAGTCCACTTTAAGTTGGAGTAATACAATAAATCAGCCTTTTTTTCAACCTGCAGGCATACTGAGTGATGCATCATTAAACCAGCATTCATTGCTTCTTATCCTGGACATAATGCCAGGGGGAACATGGCCTCAGTGTGAATATGTTAAATTGGGTAAAATATAAAGATGGTTGACAAAAGGTTGGTATGGACACTGAAGTTATCCATGACTGCAAAATGCAACAGGAAGCCTCCCTTCAGACGGTTTAATCGTCCCTCTGTGTCCTAGACAACATTTGTGCAGTTAAGTAATTGCATTATATTCCATACAGCAGCCAAACTGCAGGCTGTGGGCATATGGGCCTCATATCAATTTCATGATATTGAATTGAGGATACTTAGCCAACTCCTGCTCATTCCAGCAGTTAATTATTCTGCCCTTCTGTTGCTTAATTCCCAATTCTGGAGGTCTTCCAAACAGCTTCTGGTTTTGTCTTCATAAATGAAGACAGAATGGGGGCTTTATGTCTATAAAGGACTGGGAATATTTTTTTAACAGAGGATGAAAATCTGTAAATAAAGGGAGAGTGGACGTTGACAATGACTTTGACTGTGTACTTGGAAAGATGTGTTGTTTGAACCATCTGGTATCCTCAATTGCAACAGAAACAATGGTCTATTGCCATTTCATGAGCCTGTAGCACTGATTTTGGAGATAACCCAAACCAAATCCTACAAATTTAAAAATCAATTTATCATCTTGAATCCATTATTTTAAGAAAACTGCCAATGTGTGACTGCCAATGTGTGACTGCCAATGTGTGACTTCCTTCTGATATTATTCGAGAGCAAAGCTCTAACACCAATCTTCCATCTTTACCAGCTCAAGTACGTGTCAATGCAAATACGTGACTATACTCATATCCATCCAGGGTGATACAATAATGCAAATGTGAAGATTCCCATCAGTTTCTAAAGTGAGAAATTAGTATGACACTGTATCTCCGAAGTCTATCAGCATTTTAATTTTCTGACATTGTGAGTATTATCCACAGTGTTAGAGATACCACTACCATAAACATTATAGGACATGATCATTGCATGGATGTTATGATTAAAATATGTTTTTTTGTCGGGGTCCTTTTTTTGGTTCATTTCCTTTATTTCCGTTTCTTTTTTTTTTTAATTCTAAATCATCCTCAGCCGTGTTTGCCTCTCTTTCATGGCAGCTATTGTTGTACTCTCTTTGGTAACCACAATTTTCAGTTTCCCTTGGCTACGATTGTGTGCCCCCCACTGGCACAGAGTGTAAGGTAAATAATAAAAGTAGCCAGTGCAAAACAGGCTGAAAACAGAAGTGCTCCTGCAGTGGAAGCAACAATGTCGTGACAGGGATGAGAGACACTTCAACATTTTGACTGACTCCCCGCTGTTTTATGTAATGTGTTTAAAAGCCTTGGCTTTTTTATATAAATATTTCTAAATTTATATGTTCTGTGGTTGAGGATGCAGTGACAAATGACTCTTTGTTTCAACACATGGACATTAAAGTATTACTTGAAAGAATGACTCTCTTTTGGTGTCTTGATGATAATGTTCCTCAGTGGACAAAAACAACTTTTACATTTATTTCCCTAAAAAAAAACCCTGCGAGTACTTTTAAAGTTTAAACTGATATCAACATCAGAAGAGAGACAGTGGTTAGTCAAGCATTGTTCATACAAGTCTCTTAGGTTGTGTGATGTCACATTTTTGAAAAATAACCGTTAGACAAGTCAGAGAGTAGACCAGTGGCGGTTCTAGACCACTTTTACTGAGGGGGGCCAAACTGGGGCCAGTTGTTTTGTCAGAGGGGAACATTAAACCCAGGGGAAAATAGACAAAGATGATCGCTTTAAAAAATATATATTATGCCAAACATCATTAAATACCAGAACAAAAAATACCATGATTTATATTTGTTTCACTAACAGTATTTAATACTAAATTGTGAGTCTGGTTGTTGAGTCAAATACTGTGTATGTGTTATTGGGGGGGGGGGGGGGGCTCTTCATTTTGGAGGGGTGGCCACTGGGGGACCAAGCTCAGTGTTACAGGGGCACTTGCCCCTGTTGGCCCCTGCCTAGAACCGCCCATGGAGTAGACAACACGCTGTCTGCAAACAAAAAAAAACAAAAAACATGTTTTCCATGCACAGACTGCAGAATATGTCACTAAATGTTTCTGTGGCATCTGACTTTAAGTTACACCACATCGACCTTTTGATTCTATTTGATAAGATTTATTATATTATTATTTATTATTAGATCTATTTGATTATTACACATAATGTCTGAGTTGTAGACAATCTGTTGGAGGTTTATCAGCATACATTTTATTTACAGGGCAAGGGATGGTGAGTGTTGAACTACAACGAATGAGAGAACATTTGAATCAACAGTTTAAAAAGGAAATTATAAAAAGAATACATGTTCTGGTGGAGCAGTGGTTAGTGCGCGCGCCCCATGTATGGAGGCTTTGCTCCTCCAATTCAATTCAATTCAATTTATTTTGTATAGCGTCAACTCATAACAAGTGTTATCTCAAGACACTTTACAAAAAGCAGGTAAAATACCTTACTCTTTGTCTGTTAACATTACAAAAGAGCAGGTAAAAAGACCTTACTCATTGTTATGTTACAAAAAGCAGGTAAAAGACCTTACTTATTGCTATATTACAAAGACCCGGCCTATCCATCATGAGCACGCGGGCGGCCCAGGTTCGAATCCCACCTGTGGCTCCTTTCCCGCATGTCATTCCCTGCTCTCTTTCTCCCTGATTTCCAACTCTATCCACTGTCCTATCTCTCCAATAAATGCCCAAAAATACATGTTAAAAAAAAAATACATGGTCTACCATTTATCTGAGAAGGAGTTGGATGAAGACTTGGAAGAAAACATACAAAAAAATATATGGACAGAGAGTGTAAATCAGTTTTTGTGATTATGGCAAAGAAAACATAGTTCATGATGCGTTTTTTAATTTTCAGATATACAAGATAATAGATGGTGCGAGTATAATATATTTCGCCTTGCATACTCTTCAGGGTCTCAGGGGAGAAAAGACCTGTTGAGGGTTGGGAGGACTGGAGTCAATAAAGCAGCATGTGTGGAGCGAGAGGCGGGGACATACACGGATAACTCTCTGATCGTTACTAGAAAAAGTAATCCCGTTACTGCACACCGACCGACAGTTCACCCTTTCAACCTGATGCGCATTGCCATTGGACGTATCGAGGGTTGGACTCCAGCAGCCTGCAGCCTGTTATTCAACCGCAGCGTGCGCGTCTGGCCAGTCGTCCCCTCGTTGTGCGCTGGATATGGATCAGGACGCAGCGCGCTTCCCTGCTGTCTCCCGCGGAAAGGCTGCACTCTGCGGCTCATAAAACAGCTGCACAAATGAACCACCGACCGCCTGGCTCTTCCGGCGTGCAATGGCTTAACAGGAGAGACATGAGTGTCCGGACGGATGACAGCATCACCTTGTGCCAAAGGGCTCTCCATATCATTTCGGAACTTTGTCTCACGGGACACGTAGACAGGGAGAAATGTGCGGATATATTTCCACTGGAGAGCACCATACCAGGTAAAGGACACGCAGGTAAATAGAATAAAGTTGTTTTTTTTTTCATTTCCTGAATGCAACTAAATGAATCACTTGTGTTTGTTTAATTGAAAACAATAAATAGGCTTATTATTGCAACAAGAAGAAAAAAAATCTTCAAACTTTATCAGCGTCGTTTATTGTGTTTGTTTGGGCTGATGTGAAAGTGTTTCTCTACCTGTTACGCATCTTGCTGCAGCTCAGGATGAAGCAGCAACAGGTGGATAACAGACTGAGGCTATATAAGTGAGAATTAGAACTATGCCTCTCTCTTGTCTCTCTTTCTTTTTTTCACTTTGAAATCCGGGGAATCTATTCAGTGTTAGTTTGATTTCCACATTTTAAACAATACTTGCTTTGCTTTTTTTTTTTCAAATTAAGCACAGTCAGTCCAAACTAACAACTTAAAAAATCGCTTAGAAAAGCAAAAAGCATCAACAGGAGGGAGACTAAATGCATGTTTTCCTCCTAAGTCATGTAATTCTCTTGATGCTGAGGTTTAATTTGACTTTATACTGTCCTGCTTTATCAAACAGGTGCGTATGCTGCCCCTTCTTTCTTACAGCCTGCCTTTTCTCCTCTTTTCTCTTTCTCCCTTGCATGTTTGTCCGTCACATTTTTCCCTTTGCTTGCTTCTCCTTTTCTTTTTCTTTTTTCTCTGTCTCTGTCCACCTCTATGGGTCCCTCCTCCTCCATGGTTACATGTAGACATCTCTATTAGTCTGCTTGCTGTGGTCGTGGGTTTCTGTGGCCTCGCCCTGTTGGTAGTATCTCTCTTTGTCTTTTGGAAGCTGTGCTGGCCCCTCTGGAGGAGCAAGACTCTGACAAACCACGCTGAAAATGGCCTCCGCGTGGGTTTCCCCGAGGTCCCACAGCCAAACTCCCCTCCGGTTAACGAGTGTAAAGCATTGGAGGCTGAGAGGAAGTACCCGCTGGAGGTGAAGATGAATGGGCGGAGCTCTGTAAAGCTCCTGGAGGCGGCCATGAAGATCAGCCAGACGTCTCCAGACATCCCAGCGGAGGTGCAAACAGCCCTGAGGGAGAAGCTGAGCCAACAGGCGAAGATCCAGAGGCAGACCACAGAGCCAACGTCCTCCTCCAGGTACCCCACGTGAACCCCCTCCCTTTAGAAAGGGCATTACAATTGATCACAAGCTATTCCTACATCCCTGTACTTACAATTACAGCACAATGGTAGCTTTTTTGAAGCCACTTTGGTTTGTTTCATCCCCACACACAATACTGATGCCCTTACAATGAGAATGGTACTGGCAGATCGTGACAGAGTTGCCAATGTCCCTGAGGTGGTTTGGCACGTGTCATGCAAAGCATCACAGACTGGCTGCTGACCTTGAAATGCAGTCACAAATGTTGAACAGCGTGTTGCTTTCATTGTCTGAACAGAACAAGCTCACTCCCCACCCCCCCCCACCCCCTCCGCAAAGGCTCATCAGCAAGGGCAGCAGTATATCTTCTCTCCTCAATTTGATCCCTATAATCTTCTGTACGCGCGAGTCAAGCTGCTATGGTTACAAAGGGGATGCCACCCTAGTAATTAACCAACCAGCTCTTGTTTCTCTTTGTTTTTCGAGCACTATGTTTAAACTACAACGTCCATAATTAGCAGTGCTGCTGGGTTGGAGCTGTCATGTTGGGTGGTTACTTTCTAGCGAGGCACACCAGGCAGCTGCGCTCACTTTCTCAGAGGGAAATGTTATTGACAATTGCGTTGGTATAATGTCGTCAAAAGCCCATTAATTAAATCTTATGAAGACAAATATCTTCATAAATAACACACCTACCAGGGCAAGAGAATGGCAAGGTTAAAGACTACAATGCCTACCGTCTAAACCATTACGCCTACTCCTTTGATAGGATTTTAAAATAAAAAATGATTTTATGATTATTCCCTCTCTGGATGAAAAAACTACCAAAACAAAAAAAAACACAAACACAACGCAAATTAATTCTGTTTTTGGGATATTAAGAGCAAGCCAAGCACACCCTTGCTTAACAAAATAGAAAAGGTTAATAAAGTCAGAAAAATATAGGCAATGTCTTTTTTTAACCTTTACCAGCAGTATTGAAATGTTCAAAGGAATGTTGGTCTTTCTAATATTTTCCAACAGACTCTATTAACACAAGGCTAATTAAGCAAGTGGTTTAGGTGCAGCTAATGATTATTTGCAGTATCAATGTATCAAACAGGGTCTAAAATGTACAAAAGCTGTGTCATATTTGCATTAAAATGTTTAAAAACCATGCTCTGTATTTGGTTTACCACTATGTAAGACTAGTTAAAACTGAAAATGTTCCCATGTCAGAGGATGAAACCAGCACAGTTGTGGCATCAGACACAATATGGTTTGACTAATAATCAAAAGAGCTGTAATCATTTTTCAGTAATCTAATCTGCTGACAGTTTCAGCTTGTACAATTTTTAGGCGATAAGAAAAACTTCTTGCATGATTTTAGATGTCTACTTAGCCTTTTTGACAATTTATTTATTCGTTTTTTTCAATTTCAAGATTTTAGGAGTAAGGAGAAGACAGAAGAACTTATCTCTGTACTAAATTACCTTTACCCCTGTATTCATGGTGACATTCTCAAACGCTGAAAAAGACAGCAATAAAATCGGGGGATTTATCTCCAGTGTTGGTAGTTCGTTTGTTGTAATCCCTCGTGGATTTAGTGTATGTAATGCTTTAAAGGGGAATTGGAGGCTTGAAGAATCATTAATACAAAGTAATTAGTTTCTCATATTCAGTTGACAGGTTGTGTTCAATGTGCTGTGTTGGAGATAAAGCATTTTTACCTTCTCCCTTAAGATTGTACTGGTTCTTAGACAACATGCAGCTTTTTATGTTGTTTACGATACATGAGTCTGGTATTTAATTTCCAGCCCGGCTTCCCGTGGCATATAATTTGTGCCATGGCTGTCAGATGGCTGTGATTGTCCTACTGTCAAGAAGGAGGAGGGCCAGTTGCTAGGAGACAGGATTGGCTTGGCAGTGGTTTTCTAGAAAGATGTCAACTTCACAGAAATTTGCAGCATTCAGGTAATTTGTTATGGGGCTCAAAACTGAATGCTGGAGATGGATTTTCATTTTTCCCACAGAAACAACAACACAGTAATTGGTGAAAAAAATAAAGGAGGAAAAAAATGGTTGTTTGGCCACTTGTGTCTTTTATTGTCCCATGTATTGTCTGGGAATCCTTTCAGAGTTAAACCACCTGTGTTCATCTAGATCAGGGGTCTCCAACCTTTCTTCATCTGAGAGCTACTTTCAAAAAATGGAAGTGGCTAAGGGCTACTTGCATCAAATCGCTTGCGTTTATTTACAGAGTACACATCAGCTGAGTTAAATTCACATGAATGTCCAAGAAAACATTAGTACTTCACACTTGTTTTTATGGGCCAAATATATGAATAGTGGTAAGAGGTGCATTTACCGTCGTTAGATTTTTATTTTTATTTTTGACACAGTCGGTCAACCTATAGGCGAGCTACTGAAAACCTGCCCGCGAGCTACCAGTAGCTCCCGAGCTACCTGTTGGAGACCCCTGATCTAGATAGAGCAATTTGTTGAGATCTCCAGTATGTTAGCTTGTCTATGATATAGACGTTGTGGGATCTTCACAAAACAGGAATTTTAGACACCTTCAGCACATTTACTAGACTGATTGGCAAGGTCATTGTGAACATTTGCTGCTATTACCACACTGCATGAAGGACATTGAAAGAAAAGCCTTTGAGTAATGATTTGAAAGTGCAATTTTGGATTGACCCTAAGTGGAAGCTACACTTGAGGCCTTTGCTTCAGTTTATCAGGTGCACAGCAGGTGGTTGTTAAGCAAGAAGAAGAAGAAGGATGAATTGAGGGTAAAGAGTGCCACCTTTACTTGGCCTTGGGTCTTGATTTTGGGCACAATCAGCCCAATCACCAGGCTGAAAAGGACAAAATATGCATATCAAGTCATTGGCATGGTCATGGAAACATGTCCATGTATTAAATACAAACATGCATAAAGGACATTACAGCGGCTCTTGAGTGTTCTTATCAGCAACAAACGCATCATAAAAATTGTCATCATCATAATTAAAATCACCACTTAGCTATAGTACATCAGATGAATATCAGTGGGTGTTTATGCCTCTCACATGCCTATTGTAAGTCTTAAGCCCAACCAAAGACCACTTTTCAAGCTTTGTCAAAACAAGTTCCATGAGTGCCAATATTAACTCTTGCATTCTCCTGATTTTTTTTTTTTTAGCACAGATCAAAAGAAAGCCAATCATGCAAATAACTCCAACGCTGAAGACATACTGTATACTCAATGCCTTTTCCCCTTTTCAACAGACACAATTCATTCCGGCGCCACCTGCCTCGTCAGATGAATGTCAACAGCTTTGACTTCAGCATGGATACAGTACCTCTTCGGCAATCTTCAACAGTGAGCATTGGAAGAATAAAACCAGAACTCTACAAGCAGAAATCTGTGGACTCAGAGGGTGAGGAAAAAGAGCCTGTAGAGACTTGTGGGAAGCTCAGCTTCTCACTGCAGTACGACTATGAGGAACAATCATTGGTAGTAAGAATCCTTAAGGCCTTGGACCTACCTGCTAAAGACTTCACGGGCACCTCCGACCCGTACGTGAAGATCTACCTGTTACCAGAGAGAAAGAAGAAGTTCCAGACACGAGTCCATCGCAAGAATCTGAACCCCACGTTTGATGAGGCTTTCTGTTTCCCCGTGGCGTATGATGAGGTTTGCAACCGCAAGCTGCACTTCAGTGTCTATGACTTTGACCGCTTCACCAGCCACGATATGATTGGTGAGGTGGTGGTGGACAACCTCTTTGAACTCTCAGATCTTTCCAGGGAGGCAGTGGTTTGGAAGGATATTCATGCAGCAACTACGGTGAGTTGGCTTTCAAACTTACCAATGCCAAACCCTTACATTGATGGGCCAGACCCTTATTCAGGAAAACACACTGTGAATATGAACACTAAATCCCTTCTAGGAGTCTGAATGTATCAACAATGTTCTGTAACAGTGGCAGGTGAAATTAATTAAATAACTCAAAGGCATTTCATCAGCCAAACACCCACACATATTTTCCAGAAACTCTTTGGTATTCTTGAGTGGTAAATATAGCACTGGCACAAGTTTTGTGCTATTTTTTTCTTTAGTTGGCAGCAGTATTCTTTCAAATTTGAATATCAACACAAACAAGGTGTTCAGTTACAGCATATTGAAGATAGTTTATCCTCAATTGAACTGTTTCTATAAAAGATCTGGTGCTTTAACCCTAACCCTACACTTTTAATGTCTTACTTAAAGGCATTGGCTTCATTAGTGAGTGTCATACATATCAAGCAATTGGCTATCAATGAAGATTCACAATCAGGATGTTTAAAATGGATTTTGTCAAATTGCCATACAGGACATTTTTAAGCACTTGCAACTTTTCCCCGTAACTATTGCTATTGATATACTGATGGTTAGCGTTAGAACATTTAAAGGACATGTCAATTGAGAGAGTCAGTTTTGCTTTTTTAAGCAGTTATATCAGTCAGCAGACTTTCATCTGAGCCATTCCTAAGACTTGTGTATTATAGCATGTAGTAAAACCAACCTGGTCTTAACTGTAAGCCACAGATTAGCCTGGAATTTACTTCCTGTGCTGGCACACCTGAGGGCAGTTTCTGATACTTTGTGGACTTGTACTTAAGTTTAAGGTATTGGCTGTGTCACTCTTAAATTATGTGTGTGTGTGAGAGAGATAGCTTTATGGTATCTGTAGCTTTTCCAAATGTTTGTGGGCAGAGGTGGTTAATCCCATTGCTGATTTAAGTGGAAAAATATATAATGTTTTGTCTTACTGCCAGAACATAATCTTCTCCTTACCTACCCTCAGCTGTCAGTTTTTTAGCCAACCCAAAGTATTCTGAGTTTCTAGGCAAGAAGTTTTTTGTCTGGTGCTCTACTTTTGTGATCACTTTTGATATTACTTTATAAACTTACAACAATAAGATCTTGAAGATAACCATGGTCACACCATTACACCTCTGTAACAGTTACATTGAATAGTAGACATTACAGGGGTTGCAATATCCTGCCTTGAATTGGCAATATAGCCTGCAATTTTATGCAATTAACTGAGACCTTTTGCCTACCAGTTCTTTATATGGTCACATAATTTACCATGTACAATACATGTTTTGCTTCTTATTTTGTCCTCTAGGAGAGTGTTGACCTGGGAGAGATCATGTACTCGTTGTGCTACCTCCCCACAGCAGGGAGAATGACCCTAACAGTCATCAAATGCAGAAACCTCAAAGCCATGGACATCACAGGCTCTTCAGGTAACCTGACAGCAAATGAGATGTGGCTCACATAAAAACCCCAAGCTGATCCATGAATCAAACTGAACTGAAAAGAGACAGCAGGTGGCCACTTAAAATGGATATAGGGAGAAGAAAAAGTATTAGCCCGTGTCAGAAAAGGGAAATGCCTGTCTTGGGTGTACTTAAAGAATAGTACATTCTCTTTACATTTTGAGTTTTTCAATTTTGTTGATATCATCCCATTTTACTATAATTTCAATCTATATTTGGATTGTTAAATGACAGTAAATATGTCTCCCAGATCCTTATGTGAAGGTTTACCTGATATGTGATGGACGAAGACTGAAAAAGCGGAAAACGACAACCAAGAAAAGCACACTTAATCCAGTATACAACGAGGCCATCATCTTTGACATCCCCCCAGAGAACGTGGAACAAGTCAGTCTGTCCATCATGGTGATGGATTATGATCGGTGAGTATGAGCTAACATATAGCTTCTGTATGATTTAAGGATAGAGCGAACACATCTCTAAAAAAATTAGACTGCTTTTAAGTTTTAGAATGAAGGTCTTTCTTACCTGTAGTAAAAATGTATTCATTTTCTGCTCAGTTATGATTTTTGCGTTTTAGGCTTAATATTGCTAAAAGTGTGTGTTATATGACTAACAGGGTTGGACACAATGAGGTGATAGGCGTGTGTCGCACCGGGCCAGATGCCGAGGGTCTTGGACGGGATCACTGGAATGAAATGTTGGCTTATCCGCGGAAGCCCATCACACACTGGCACGCTCTAGGAGAGGTAATACTACTTTTTTACTTTCAGTCTGAAAGACGGCATGATTACAGCAATTTCTAGATGTGTTGAACGCAGAAATGGCCAAAAAGTCAATTTTCACATCTTTTAAAGGTTACATTTTTTCTTTCTTTACTATCAACAGAAAGAATAGCGTTTAACAAAAACAGAATACCACAAATCACACTACCACTAAGTAACCACCAAGTAACCACTGACTAACCACTACGTAAACACTAAGTAATCAGTAAGTAACCACTAGGTAACCACTAAGTAACCATTAGGTAACCACTAAGTAACCATTAGGTAACCATTAAGTAACCACTAAGTGACCATTAGGTAATCACTAAGTAATCACTAAGTAACCACTAAGTGACCATTGAGTAACCACTAAGTAACCATTAGGTAACCACTAAGTGACCATTAGGTAACCACTAAGTGACCATTAGGTAACCACTAAGTAATCACTAAGTAACCACTAAGTAACCATTAAGTAACCACTAAGTGACCATTAGGTAACCATTAAGTAACCACTAAGTAACCATTAGGTAACCACTAAGTGACCATTAGGTAACCACTAAGTAATCACTAAGTAACCACTAAGTAACCATTAAGTAACCACTAAGTGACCATTAGGTAATCACTAAGTAACCACTAAGTAACCATTAGGTAACCATTAAGTAACCACTAAGTAACCAGTAAGTAACCATTAGGTAACCACTAAGTGACCATTAGGTAATCACTAAGTAATCACTAAGTAACCACTAAGTAACCAGTAAGTAACCATTAGGTAACCACTAAGTATCCTTTGACTAACCACTAAGTAACCACTAAGTAACCAGTAAGTAACCATTAGGTAACCACTAAGTATCCTTTGACTAACCACTAAGTAATCAGTAAGTAACCACTAAGTAACCATTAGGTAACCACTAAGTAACCAGTAAGTAACAACTAAGTAACCATTAGGTAACCACTAAGTAACCAGTAAGTAACAACTAAGTAACCATTAGGTTATACAATTGTCCTTGCAGTGGAACATCTGCTACAAATGCCAAACATTTGCAGAAATCTGTTTACAAAATTAGTTAACTTGGTTCCAAGAAACTTCAGATTTACCTACTGCCACCTTGTGGCAATTTTATGCCACTGCAAAATACAGCATGGCTTACGCATACATTGCAGTCATGTCTTATTTTGTTACAGACACCAAAAATGTGTTCACCCTAATATTTTTTCACTGAGCTTTTACTTAGGTAAATCTTTAATTTGCTTGTGCCTACAATAACTCTGGCCATAATTTCAGAAAATATGGTATTTTTTTAGGAAATGATTCTGTTGTTTTTCAAGGACTCAGATAAGTCATCAACATTAACTTCAACTTTGTGCTCTCAATACAGAAAAATCTAATGTGTTTTGAGGGGGACACAGCTAGCCCAGGGCATTCAAATGTGCTATTTCAATAATGTCATAATAATATGCACAGTTTACTATAAAATAATAGAATAATATAGAGAACGCTTTATTGAGCCTTTTTCATCATCAGGGGTTGACTCCACAGGGAATATGTCAGCTTAGCTGACAGCAACAAAAGTCAAAAAGAACTCAGAAAATAAGGACTATATGCGAACAGTTTAAGGCAGTTCCACAGTTTCTGGTAGGCTAACTGTCTCCCCCTTTAATTGTAATTTCATATTTTACATTTCATCAATGTTTCTTCCTCTTTTGCCACACCTACTTCCATCTGATGAATAGGAAATCACAGGTGATTACGCATTTTCAGTGGTAAAACTACTTCATATGCTTTGGTAACAACTGTGATCATAGGCACAAACCTTGTCCTCTGTTGCGCTCCTTAAAACATTGTTGTGTAGTACAATACAGTGTGAGGTTAAAAATGGAAGCTGTGTTTTTAACTGTGTTGAATTTAGAGCAAACAGAAAAGAAGATCTTGCTGTAGGATTGCAAAGGTGTCAGACAATTTTTTGATCGCTTTGTGGAGTTTGCAAAGTGAAAAAAGCCATTTGAAGATGAAGATCAGTCCTTGTCGTATCTTAGTTGTTATCCCTACTGTTTTAAAGGCTCCATCCCAACTGCCTTGAATCTGACTACAGCAACATGGCTCCAAGAAGGAACAAACCTTTTAGCAGACTACAGGGGTGTGGGATTCATACTCAACAAAAAATACTACCACTGCAAAAGTGAGAAATTTGATCTTTAAACTGTCATCTTAAGATGACAAGTTCAATACTTTGTTCTATGAAGCTATGTCATTTTCCTGAGAAATGAAAAGGGAGATTTAAAGGGAAAAGGAGATGATTTATCTTTTGGCATACACTTAGTTTTCTCAAGATCATACATGGTACTGTAAAATGAGTGCTTTCATTTGATCAAACTGGTTCCAGCCTTCAGGTTTACTATCAAAGCTACACAGTACTGTCTGATGTTTTGATCAATGAAAATATCTTCTACTTAAATCTGATATAAGGTTTCCAAGATGCCATCCATGCATGCTTTTATGGGGGTGGTGACTTCTAATAGTCACAAGTATAAGAGAAAGAAACTTTTTGTGTGTTTGTGACAAAAAGTTGACGAACTTATCTTGAGAAAGTTGCACGTTTTCTTGAGATGATTAAATAATCAAAACTTTGATCTCCTTTCTCTGCTTCTGTGACCTGTTGCACCAGCTACGTATAAGTTGTGACTCAAGTTTGGGCGCCAAGTCCAAACTAAACTCTACGATGAAACTAGTTGATTTTGTGACCAAGTGGAGCCAATCAAGTTTTTCAGCCTATGATCACAGTACATCCTGAGGTCTACAGAAATAACCTGCTTAGTTTTTTGCCAAAGGACGCCTCTATAATTTGTTGCATTTTGTGATATTTTACTTTCCAGTGGCCGGGAAGAGCAACAAGCTTTGAGAGTCAAGGTTCGTGCCCTTCGCCCAAACCGCCACAGACGCCTTGATGGTCCCAGGTAGAGATAAAACCACCTGTGTAAGAAATAAGAGTTTAGAGTTTTTATGAAGCTGTGGTGCCTACCAGTTTCCTGTGAGCATGTTGTGTTAAAATTCATTCATTTCTTATATATGTTTTAGAAACAATGCTGTATTGAAATTGTTTTTAATTCGTTCATCTGAACTCCAACTCTTCTGGCTATGCACAGCACTTACTGTCTTTTAAAGTTTGTTTTTCATATGTTCACTTTGAGACTCCCAGAAAAGCTGTATTTGCCAAACATTTACACAGGCAACAGCTTCATTGCAAGAAGCCTCACTGCCTCGGGATATGCCCCAAAAGCTCTTTAGTGAGATAGCACTTTGAAAGGGTGAACAGTTAAAGTGTTAAAGTGTGAAAAAATGTCAGGAAAAAACTGACAAGATACAAAAAAGCCACTGAATCACTGATTTATAGCCAGGTTTGATATGAATGCTGGTAACTGTATCCTCAAGGGCTGGTTAAATATCTTTAAATTCAGCTGCAGAAACTGTCGTAAATGTGTCAAAGTAATTATTAACCAGCCATTGTTACATGCAGACATCAGGGCTGTCAGATTTAGAGAACCTGTAGCAGATACATGTAGCTAAAATATGTACAGATATAAAGTACAGTCTCACTTTGTGGGGTCAAAAGTCTTTCAATAAATTGTATGTCAAACCCCTTGAAAAACTTTAATTCTACGTTGGTTAATATTATGGCTCCACATTCTACCATACATGTTGGTTGGATTAAGGTCTTTTAATGGTTGTTACTAAAAATATAAATACATTTGCCAGTATTAAAGAAACATTTTAGATCGTAGCTTATATGATAGATAGATATAGACCAGCAGGCCTGTAGAAGTTGATCCTTCTTTAATCAATTTGATTAAATACCAAAAATGTAAGGAATGGATTTTTTTAAAATAAAGTAAAATGGACCATGGATAGAGAAAATGGCCATATTTCAAAGTAAGACATCATATTTGATAACCCATTATTATCTACCTTTAGACAACAGCTACTGCTAGCCATTGAGCTAGTCCTTTGTTACATTTGGTTAGCGTACAGTGCATTTGCTAGGGTACAAAAACTAGTACATTTTTCAAAACAAATCAGTATATTTGCTAGTTAGCGAGTCCTTTCCAAGTGTAACGCATAAAACTATCACACAGTATTTTTAGCTTACAGCCATTACCTAGCTAGATTTACCTACTAAGTGGCTGGATGCTAACGTAAACTGTTGTCTTACAGTAGCTGGATTATCCAATGTGTTGTTTTATCTTGACTTTTTTTTTCTACGAATTGTCTTTCTGATTGCTGATCAATCTGGAAGGGATGAATTGATAATGGTTGTCTGGTACCTTAGTGCGACTAAAAACCTTGAGCACTCTAGTTGATCATTAAAATAGCTTTTAGCTCCCGACCCTGAGCCTGCACAGAGGAAAGTGGCTCCCTTGAGTTTGTTCCATTTCTATTAACTGCCTAATGTGCCATGAAAAAATGGGAAAACTTGACATCAGTAGCATCCTTAACTAGATAAGGAAAAGCCTAGCTAACTCTCAATTAGCCTAACTAACCAGAAAATATAGGCGTAATAGGGTAATTTAAGGGCCTGTGTCCACTAACGTCGTTTTTTGCGCTGGCGGCGCTCAAAGCATTGTTTTTGTTGCTAGGTTGCTAAAAGTGAACTTCCACATCTCCCGGTAATAACCGTTAGGTGTGTTTAGATAGCTCTGTGTGCTTAATATTTGCTTTTATTTAACAATATATATCACCAAGAAAACATGCAAAAAATGTAAAGGAATGGTGTCCTGGCACAAGCGGCAACTCTAGACCTGTAAATTGTATCCTCAAAAAGACGAGCACAGATATCAGAAGTCCCACCCCCTCTTCATTTTGATTTGTCATGGAGGGAAAAGTGATATTGACGACCTCGGAGCAGTCTCAAAAGTTGAAGTGTTTTCAACTGAGAGTGCTGTGAGCCTAGCGACAAAAAAAACGCTAACGCTGTATTTTAGCGTTCAGGAGGCTGAGCGCTGAAAACGATGATCTGCATTGCTTTTGTATGGAAAATGTGTGGACACAGGCCTTAATGTAGCCAAACTTTAGTGAACAACAACTTCTCCTCACTCTTTACAAATTCAGGGACTTATAATCCATAAAAGACATTACATATTAGGAAATGTTGTGTACATTTGACGCCATATGAAATTGATTTGAATCCATCTAAAACACAACATGGACTCAGCTTCATCTTTCACATGAGTAATAAGAAACTAATAAAAAACATTATAGCTAATAGAAAATGGCTATCTACTGTTATCTAACTTGCACATTAACAAGCTTTTTCCCCTGCGCTGCCCAAAATATGAAAATGAAATATTTTTACTGGTAGCATGTCTCCCTATGCTTAAAAATATATACATAGAAAGATATTGTAAAAAAATAATAATAATTATAAAATTTTGATCTTTGTGTTTACCTTTGTATATACTGTCAATGAAAGTGTTTGTATATATTGAAAAGTGACATTTAAGAATCTGTCGTATACTCATGGAAATAGAGACATCAAAAATGTATTTCTATTGTTTGGTGATGATTTGAAGAGCTCAGCCTTGTACTCGAGTGAAATTTAAACATGTTCTGTAATAGTTGTGAACAATTAGTCAAACTGGAGACCCCAGTGAAGCCAACTCTAACTTGTTAAGCTATTCCATGTGTAGGAGTTTAGAGCTTTGAGCTGTAATCGTTTGTATATTGGTTGAATCTATATTGAACAAGAACAACTGCAAGAACCGTCCTGATGTGTACAGTTTGTGATAACTTTTTGTAACATTTGGAATATTATTTAGTGTATCTGTTTCATATGTATTTTAACTAAATAAATACAAATTGAAGAGTAACAGCATGTGTTTCTTTTCTGGGTGTGCATGTCATCGCTAACCTTGACAGTGCCTTTTGTCTGCAAGCTTTTCAACATGCTGTCAACATACAGAATATATTTTCCTTTTCACAAAAGTGAAGGTCAAACAGTGTTGACTACATTTTTAATGGGATTAATGATCCAGACTAAAGCAGCTCTGATTCTTCCAGTCAACAGCATGAACGCAAGAAGCGGTAAAACATTTCTAGTATTTTTTTTCCAAAATCGCAGAGTTGAATTTTACAAGTGGAATAAAATATAACTGAGGTGAAAGAGGAGGGTTTTTTTTTTTTCGTGTGAATAGCTGTTATTTATCTCTGAAGGTGGGCCTGCATCGTGCTGCCTCCTTAAACCACTGCTAACATTGAGGCTAAAGGAAATGTGTTAGATGTTAGATAACCGCTCCTTTGAGCGACACAAGGCCCTGAGTTTGCTTTCAAGACACTTAAGATGAATTTTAAAAGCTTGTTAAAAAAAAGCTTCACATCCTCAATCTGTTTGATGGTGAAACATGAAGAGAACATTTTGATCTCTTGCAACACAACTTCCTTTTGATCCACAGGATTCGATGGAAACAGACAAAGGGAGGATGTTGCATTAGTTTCCTTGGCAATGAGAGCTGCCCACTCGTTGAACACTAACACTATATTTAGAGTAAAGTCGTATCCTTACTTGGCACGGGCTAATGGCCCCATGGGTTGATGCATATGATTAAAGCTCTGCAATTTCCTGGATACTTATTTGAGCTGGGTATTGAACACCATAGCACTACGAAGACTTGGGAGGACATTGCACTTGCCACGTTGCTAACATTAACAATGTAGCTGCAGAATTATGGTTATGAATGGTAGCCACTGTTAGAATGATATATTACAGATCATTTACCTCCACCATCTGCGCAACCTTGAGGTCCAATTCACAGAGTGTATTGCAGCTTTTTATTATTGCTGTGAAAACATGAGAAGAATGTTTTGCAGCCCAGTGTCATTTTCTCTTTCTGCACCAACCCTCCTTTGTTGCAATTTTGTGTTCTACCTTGCGTGGGCCAGAAAGAGCAGCCAGTCCAGACAAAGGTGCAACAGAAGTCTGTAAAGACTTAGGTTGGGAACCAGAGGGTCGACAGTTCAAGGCCCAGAACAGACCAAGAGTGGACATTGGTCTGGTTGATGGAGAGGTGCCGGCTGAGCACTGCTGAGGTAGTGTTTGTGTCGCAAGGTGTAAAACACCCAACTGCTCGGGTGCTGTTATGTGCAGCCCCTCACTCTGACATCTCTCTCCATTAGTGCATGTACAAAGAGCTTTTTAATATTGTGCCACTGTTACTTAGTCTCTGATGATGCAAACAATTTTGGTTTTCCAAGCTGTAAACCCTTGCATGATTCAAATGAGATATTTGTCAACGAGGCTTATTTGCAATTAAAAAAGGGTCAATCTTTGCCTCGAATGTGACTGGATTAAATCTGTGCACACAGCACTGGTTCATCAAGATTCTCCTTGCTCTGGTGCACAGTTTTGGAAGAACAAACATTTGGTGTGTGCTTTGAGAATTACAGTTTCTTGTTGTTTCATTTGCACATACTTAATGGCAAATAGAGCCATTCATTGTATGTGTGTATGTTGTGCGTGACTGTGACTGTGACTGTGACTGTGACTGTATCGAATGAACTGTTATGTGTTTTGGTGTTGGACCCCTCTCGAAAACGAGATGGTTCATCTCAAGGGGCTATCCAACAATAAACAGAAATTCTCACAAGTTTTATCTGTTAATTTGCCCAAGCATGTCAAATGAAAATTAGGTCTTCTACTCTATATTCTATGCTTTGGATAATGGCACTTTTTAAATCGCATGAGCTAACACTTCAGTTAAGCCAGTACAATAAAACATTTGTGTCTTCTTTTTTATTCAATCAAAAATATTCTGCCCACCGCATATTAAATCTGTTGGTTTATTAATTAAGACCAAGTCTGGCATTTGGGATGCTTCTATTTACCTCATTTCCCAGACAGTGACACTCCAAAAGCTGAAAATATCAATGTGCACAGACAGGTGTGATTTATTAGAGCCTGAGATCATCGGTGGCGAGCTGGATACACAGGATCAGGGGGTCAACTCATTAATGGTGAGGTAGCGGGGGCTGTATCTATTCTAAGAACAATTACAGTTTAAGAGGTGGATGGAGAGACAGTTATGTAATGCCACTACCCATTACAGCATAACTGTCCTTTTTATGGCCATGGGTGTCCATTTGCTCTTGGGCACGAGTGAATGTTTCTGGTAGGAGAAGGATTAGATGCTTCAGGTGTAAAATTTTATGGTGTAAAAAATCTTCAGCAAATATGCAAATGATGTGTGAATCTTATAATATATACCTTTCAATCACAGTGACGGAAAAGGGATTCTTTAAAGACGCAGACGCAGGCTATAGTTTTGAGTTCAAATGATCCTGATAGGTCAGCGTCATGGAGCGAATGTAAATGTACCTGACATCCTGGAACATCTGTGGGGGGGTCAGACACAGACAAACTCAAGATGCAAGATGTTCTGTTGTCGATATTTCCTTCACAATACTGATTCCAAAATGCTAAATTTGCTCAATAGCTGATAATGATAATTCTGTATCCCCTGACTTACAGATTATATGACAGAGAATTTAGTTATCTGGTGGCCAGTCAGTTACAATCGAGAAATAACACAAATGGATAAAACTGTATTGTGTCTGCGTCAGGGCAAACAGATTTTTATTAAAGAGCTGCTTCATTCATGTTTTAACAGCTTCTGTGTTACTGTTTGCTTTCCAAATCACAAGCAGAGCACCTACAGATCTACTGAGCTCACATTTTAAAGTGGGGCCACAGCAGTCCAAAGTTTGGGAAGGCTGGCCTAGTGGTGAGGTCGCGCCCCGTGTACAGATTCTGTAGTCCTCCGAGGGGGCCGCCCGGGTTCAAGACTGTGGTTCCTTTCCCGCATGTCATTCCCAGCTCTCTTTCCCCGACTTCCTAATCAATCCACTGTCCCATCACATAAAGGCATAAATTAAAGTCTTTCGAGAATTCAACGTTGGAGATGCCTCTTGCTCTGGTTACATATTTTTCTTGGCACTTGAAGTTGCTAGGTGTCGACTGCTGCTATAACCATCACCAGCAGAAAGGAGAAAGGTTTACAAAGCATGCTTTATGAAGCTTTAGACTGAGTCCACTCAGCGAGGGGACAAAGTGATAAAGGCAGCTATAAATAGATGTTTTACCCCATGGGTAAGAGCACAGGAATCCACTCTCATTACTTCTCCTTCTTCAATTGATTTGTCCTGACAGAAAACATCCAGCTCATGAGTAAAGATGGCATGGATTCATACTCAGACCAGCAGGGGAACTTTTGAACCCCAAAGTGTGAATGTGTTAATTGTTGCTTTACTTACAAATATATTTTAATTTGTGAAATAAAGTTATGGGGCAATAAAAAAAACACATTGGCAACGACCTTGGAAGTATGAAAATGTGTTTTTGTCCATGCTGTATTCTCCTTCTGGCCTGTTTCTTTTGTTGACATGAAATACTAATACTAATAATTCTCTAGGGTAATAAACTAATCTCATAGATTCATGCAATTTGCTAAAACTGTAATTATTGGTGCAAAATTTCACAACATAACAGTAACAAGCCTCAGGCCTCATTTTCATTTCATGGAACAGGACCAAGCTCGAATTAGAAAAAAATGAAAATGCAATTTTTTAAATGCAATTATTTTGCAATTATTTAAATGAATTCACAGAATGGCGAGCCAAAAAAATTTGGCCTGAATCCTAAATTAAAATATTCAAGTATACATACAAATCTGTCAGATTGTGTTTTAATAGCTCCAGGACATGTCAGTCCCCATAAGACTGATTTCCATCCATCCCATCCATCCATCCATCCCATGAGATGAGATTAGATGAGATTCAACTTTATTGTCATTACACATATACAAGTATAGAGTAACGAAATGAGGTTTGGCATCTCACCAGAAGTGCAAATAAGCAGAAAGTGCAATAGTCTGTGCTATGTACAGTAATTGAGTGCAAGAGTCTGTGCTATGTACAGTAATTCTGTGCTATGTACAGTAATTCTGTGCTATGTACAGTAATTGCAAAATTTACAGATGTAGAATGAGATGAGATGAGATGAGATGAATTCAACTTTATTGTCATTACACATATCAAGTATAGAGTAACGAAATGAGGTTTGGCATCTCACCAGAAGTGCAAATAAGCAGAAAGTGCAAGAGTCTGTGCTATGTACAGTAATTCTGTGCTATGTACAGTAATTGCAAAATTTACAGATGTAGACAAAAAAAGTGAGTTATTAGGTAAATCTGGATGGCTGGATTAATGGGATGCAATAAATATAAATAAATGCTATAAATAAGTAATGCTACAAAATAAGTGTGTTTTTAGGATTATAATATACAGATTAAGTGCAGTGAGCATGCTATACTAATAATATACAGATTAAGATGCAGTGAGCATGCTATACTAATAATATACAGATTAAGATGCAGTGAGCATGCTATACTAATAATATACAGATTAAGGTGCAGTGAGCATGCTATACTAATATATACAGATTAAGATGCATGAGCATGCTATACTAATAATATACAGATTAAGATGCAGTGAGCATGCTATACTAATAATATACAGATTAAGGTGCAGTGAGCATGCTATACTAGATGTGCAGTGAGCATGCTATACAATAATATACAGATTAAGATGCAGTGAGCATGTATACTAGTTTACAGATAATATAAAGAATATGGACATAATATGAACATACTATAATACAATAATACAGATGGATGAGAGATGTGTGTGTGACCAGGAGGAGTGGTGGGGGGATGATGGGTGTGAGGTGATATGCAGGGGAAAGGGGGGTCAGCAGGGTGCGGAGAGAGAGAGGGAGAGAGAGAGAGACAGAGTTCAGAGTTCGGGGGGTAGAGTTCAGTA